GAGAAAACTGTATTCACAGAGTTCTTGACATTCAATAATCTTTATTCATTCATTCATTTATTTACTTACTTTTCTGTTTATTAAAACACTTCAAGCATTACATTTCAACTTACCTTAGAGTAATAAAAAACCAGATAGTTTCCCTTCATTTATATAAATACCTGCATTTCTTGAGTTTTGGCAGGCACGGAAGATAGGTTGGCACATCACGTATAAGCAAGCTTCTTGGAAAGTGGACAAAGCAAGGACTTAAAGACTGTCTAGATGCTATGAACAAAACTTGGTCAAAGGAATCAGATTAAATTAGAAATCTGAGTAAATTAAACAAGGAAAAAGAAAGTGCACCCCCCACCCCAAGTGAATCCAGGCTTTTAGGATGAGGTGGCAGAACCAACATAAGAGTTACAAGGGACCAAAGAAAGGGTCAGGGAGAAGTCAAACAACCCAGAAATTGGAGTGAGGAAGGCTGAGAAGATTCTTATTCCATCCATGCCTCTTTCAAAGACCTGCCACACATTTCCAGAACAGTTCTGTACACAAATATTAGATTTGGGGAGGGCAGGTGAAAGGGGAAAAAAACACAGTACCTGCACATAGTTCCTAACTCCCCCCCCCCACCATACACACTCACATTTTGAGATTGGATTAAAGACCCTTTTCCATGGTAACACTTATCAACTGCTTGGCCAAAAGAGAAGTTCATACAACTCTTCCCCTGCCACCTTATTAGCATTGCTGCCGTGGGAAGAAAGCTTCCACACAGAGTTCCCCTATGTCACTAGATTCTAGTGTTAGTGAGGATCAAAAGAAGGACCATGCCACAGTGCTTCCAGTGTCAGTAAAGTGAACATAAAAAGGCACGCTACCACGTCTCTGATAACATTCAATCATAGCCTGAAAGTTCTGTAAAGCAGTGGTTTTCAACCACTGAACTGGGGACCAGTGCTGGTCCACGGGAGATTTCCTGCTGGTCCATCGAGGGGCTGCATCCCACTTGCGGACCAGCGTGGGGGCTGGCAGTGCTCCACCACCTCTTCCTTGGTTGGCATCATGATCGCAGGGGGTGCACCAGAGGGGCTGGGGAGGGGAGAGACAGTTTGGTGGGAGCTACCCAGAATCCACACCATGCCAGTCTCGGTATTTTGTTCCTTTGTTGGCATTTTCTGTTGCTTGGTTTCTGGTTGTTTCGGAGAATTTTCATTTTTTTTGATATTGTGTTTGGAAACTAATACATAGAATACTGTATTATGTGTATGGTGTTTTTTGTTTCTGCCTCAGTTGTCCCCGATGTGGCTTTCCTGCTTTTGCCAGTCCCCAGCTGTGGAAAGGTTGAAAACCACTGCTGTAAAGCATGATGCCATCAAGGTTGCATCCACCTTAAGCACAGCTTCCTGATGCTTTTTAGGAAATTGCTTTGCAATAATTGAGACTATTTGTCAGTGCAGCCCAGTCTAGCTCTGACCAGCAGCAACCAGGCAGAGGCATTCGATTGGTACTCGATACTACCTGATCATTTTTACTAGGGTTAAGTACAAACTAGTGTTTTTACATTCTATGTACATACATATTCTGTGTACAAACTAGTGATCCGCCTATATTGTATGGGCCCTTGGTTATATAATTCCTCAACACTATTCTTTCTTTCTTTTTAGAATGACATTTTCAAAGATGATTCTGTATCCTTCAACTCATATGATGATTCGCCATGATCTTGCTGCAACTTTCCATACAGTTGGATGTGGGTGGGACTGCTTTGCAGTGGTTTCTCCCTTACAGACATTGCAAAACTGATGCTGGAGTATTCCTGCTCAACCCATGACATGGGTTTTGGTTTTTAGTTTAGTTTTGGTTTTTTCAGTGTTCTATCTGTTCAACATCTTCATGAAACTGCTCTGTGAGGTCATTTGGAGGACTGGAGTGTGTCATCTCTCTGTTGATGACATGCAACTCTGTTTCTCCTTTCCAAAGTCAGGAGAGGCTGCAAATGTGGTATCCCAGAGTTTTGGAAGGGACTGCAAGGACCAGGTTCACAGTTTGAGGATGCTGCTTGTTCCATTAATACACCCTGAAACTCCAAGTTAAATCATCCCTGTCAAATAGCTGCCCAACTGTCTGTTGAATACCTCCAATGTTGGAGAGCCCATGAACTCCCCAAGTAATGGGTTCCATTGCTGTATGGGTCTAAAAGGAATGTTTTCCTGATGTTTAGCCAGAATTTGGCTTCCTGTAACTTGAACCCATTATTCTGTGTCCTGTACTCTGCAGTGGTGCCCCAATTGTGGCACACGCTCCACAGAGAGGTCCTCCTGGCTCCAACGCTTCTTTCCTTTTGGCGTCAGGCAAAAACGATTTTATTCTCCCAGTATTTTAATTGTTAGCTTGTTTTAATTAGTAGGTTTATATTTTAACATTGGATGCTGTTATTCTTATTTCTATTTTTAGGATTAATCTGTTGTAAACTGTCCCGAGACTTTTAAGTATGGAATGATATGGAAAAGTTTTAAATAAATGAATAAATAATTGAGAAGCAATATTTTCTGTGGGGCAGCCTTTCAAATATTTAAAAAAGTCTTATATATCCCCATAGTCTTCGCTAAGCTAAATATGCCCAGTTCTTTCAATCTCTTCTCACAGGGCTTATTTTCCAGCCCCCCAGTCATCTTTTTTGCCCTCCTCTGAACCTTTTCCAGTTTGTCTGAATCTTTTTTGTGCCCATGATGGGCCACAATACTCAAAATGTGGCCCAACAAGTGTCAAGTAGAGAGGAATCAATCTCATGTGATTTGGAAGCTATACTTGTATTAATGTAGCCCAAAACAACATTTGTTTCTTTTGCAGCCATGCAACATTATTGGCTCATATTTAGTTCTTGCTCTACAACAATTCCAATATCCTTCTTGCTTGTTGTATTCTTGAGCCTAGTAGACATCCTATAACTCTGCATTTGGTTCCCTTTTTCTAGGGCCAAACTTAGCACTTGCCCTGTTGAATATCATTATGTTGCTTTCAGTCCAGCACTCCAACCTATTAAGATTACTTTGACTTTTTGTTTCTGTCTTGCATGGTATTAGCTATCCTATCCAATTGTATGTCATCTGCAAATCCAATCAGCATTCACCTCACCTCCTTGTCCAAGTCATTAACAAAAATGTTGAAGAGCTCTGGTCTTAAGACCGAGCCCTGTCATAGCCCAATCATTATCTCTCCCCAGTTTGAGCAGGTGCCACTGATAAGTACTGTCTGAGTCTGATTCTGTAGCCAGCTGTGGAGACACCTAATAGCTGTTCCATCTAGCCCACTTTTAGGTAGCTTGCTGATGAGAATGCCATGGGCTACTTGACAAAAATGTTACTAAAGTCAAGATATATTATGCCTGTAGCATTCGCACTGTCCACAAGGGAGGTTCTGCAATCAGAAAATGAGCTCAGATTAGTTGGACAAGATTGGCTCTTGATAAAACCATGCCAGTTCTAGTAATTACTGCATTGTCATAAAGGTGCTTTACAGACTAATGTCTATTATCTGCTCCAGAATTTTCCCAGGGACTGATGTCAGACTGGCTGATCTATTGTTCCCAGGATCCTCCTTTTTGCCCTTTTTGAAAGGAGGGACAGCATTAGCTCATTGGTACTTAACCCATCCTCCATGTTTTCTCAAAGATAATAGACAGGTTCTGAGAGTCCTTCTGCCACTTCCTTTATTATTCCAGGATGCAGTTCATCAGACCCTGGAGAGTTGAATTCATTCAAAGGAATGAGGTGTTACTTGACCATTTGTTTATTAACCTCATCCTTCAGTTTGTGCTCCATTTTTGCTAGCGTAGGGCACATAGCTGGATGTGGGATGTTGGGAGTTATAGGCTTTATTTCTGAGCTTGAGTCTGTTATCCCACTTTTACCTTTAAGTATGGATGACTGAAGATGGGTAGCTTGCAACGATCTATACTCTGGTAGCTTCCTGTTCAGTCTGTTATAATTAATCGTATGTAAGAATGGCTTTGAATGTTGCCTGTAAACTACAGCTGGTATAAAATAGGCAGCAAGAATTTTGACCAGAACCAGGTGCCTCATGAGCACTCATATGCTGCTTCATTTGCATCAGTTTCCAGTTTGCTTCTGAGATCGGTTCAAAGTGCTTGCTTTCACTGACTGAATGTCTTCTCCATTTATGGACCTCCCTCTACAATAGTCCTCTCTTTCTGAAGTTCAGGGGGTGGCCATGAGAGAGATGGCCTCCATGATGGTAGCTGCTGGTTAAGGAATGCTCTGTCCAGGAAAGCTAACCTAGCATCCACATTCTATTCCTTTCAGCATCCTTTAAATATATTTTTGTTCTTCTGGGCTTTTAAAGCCTTTCTTATTTTAATCCCTATGGTGTTCTGGTAGATTTAGCTCCTGCATTTATTAAGTGATTTTAGTTCTTTGTTTGTGATATATTATGTCATGCTGACTTTTGTACTGCTTTTTATTGTGAAGGCACTTCATTGTTTTTCTTCTCATTTTACTGGTGGTTTTTGTCATCATTTAGATGTTGCCTAGGCTGAACTGTATTACTGCCTGCTTTTTGTTTCTAAGGTGATGCTATGACATCTGGAGAATTTGAAAGGCATCTTATGAAGAAATGCACCGAATAAATAAGTATAATCACAGTCCTTAACTTATATAATGCTAAACTCATTTTTGTGATTTTGAGCACAACATATTGCTCATAATTAGAAGAATCTGAGAGAGATGGTGTGATCTGTTGGTTGGAGTGTTACATTTAGATGTGGGAAAACTAGGTTGAAAATCTGCTTAATTAGGAAACTACCAGGGTAGCACACCCTCTCAGTCTTACTTGCTGCACAGGGCATTCAATATAATATTCCCATACATGCTGTCCTGAGTTCCCTTGGAAGAACTAAGGTGATAAATAAATGGAGTCTTCCTATAACTGGATTTCCTATGAAAAAGGAATAGCCCTTAAATTTTTGGACAGAAAGTGACAGCAACAAGCAGGGCTTTGGGAAGAACATTTTATTGCTAAGCATATCCTTGAACAGAAAGGCAATTATGAAAAGAAAATAACAGAGAAAAAAGAACAGGTGGAGGGAAAGGGGGAAAAGAAGCAATAACGGCACAATAATGTTAAAGAAAATCTTTAGGGTTCTGTCCATAAAACAATAGGAATATGATAGAAGCCCACATACAAAAATGCACATGTTCCCAAAAAACTGTCCAATTGAAATAGACACCAACAAAAGAAAAAAAAGAAAGAAAATGTTTTTTTTCCTGATTAAAAAAAAAAAGATAAAGAAAGAAAGCAGAAAATCATTTCACAAGACTCCAAGACTCCAAGAACAGCAGCAATCTTTTACAGACATCAAGATATAATCAACTCTGTATATGTTCGGCCAGTTAAGGTTGTCCAAAGTCGTGCTTTCATATCTTTTTTTAAACCTGTCTTTATTTTTTTCTCTGTTGTAGTGTAAAAAATAATTAAAAAAACAAACAAACCTCACACACACTGAAAAGATTTGTTAGCCAGGTAAGCCTAGTCTCAAACCATATGAGAAGGCTGCCTTTTTTATTTTGTTCTCATGTGCGTGTGTGCATTGGATAACACTTCTTCAAAGTCAAAGATTCATGCGACTTATAAACACCAGCAAGAGTAGATTTCTAAACCTAAACAGCTGATTAGATTTCATCTGTACACAGAAAAATTGTACATTTCTAATATACCAGAGTCCTCTAAGTTTTTTGTGGTTTTCACCTTTCTCTTTCATTCTCTTTCTCTTTTTTTGCTTGATTTTTTCTTTTTTTTTTGCACATGATATTTGTGGCCAAAAAACACCCAGTTTTTCCCTGTACAGTAAGTTGCTCTCTTTCAAAATAATGGAAGAAAAAATAAAAAACAACATCCAAAATTAAGTACATTGAATATGAACAACAACCCAATAAAACCTCAAAGCATTATGTACATCAAGTACCCATCTAGAAATTACACCAGCCAAAAAAAAAAAATTGTAGTAAAATATGTAAACAAAATCTTATTTTTATCTTAAAATCTTTTTGACACAGATAACTGTGACAAAGTTTAAATGCACACTCTTCACATTTTTAAAGTTTAGCTTTTGTTGTTTTGTAAAAACAATTCTTTTCTTTACAACATTCTCATTTTGTATTAAGACGTTAACAGCATTTCTGTTCCAGTCGTCCCATCAAACATACCATGATAAATATATCTGTGTATATATATATATATTTATATATATTATACTATTAATAAGCTCCTTTAATTTTTTTATTTCTGAGTGTCATAGTGACTTTTAAATTTATTTTCTTTCATATAAAAGAGAAGGGAAAGGTAGAAGGGCAAATGGAAGGACAGCGAATCAGAAATGTCAATCTACAAAATTAAATCATTACATATGAAACACACCTTCATGATTAAAAAACAACAACCCACCCCTGTTTGTATTTCTCCATGACAAGTTTTTGGCTTGTGTGACATTTTGTAGTTCTTGTCATGGGCTGGACTCAACATAATTCAATTGATTAATATTGTTTGCACTCATGCATCGCCATCAGCCAAGGAGCCAGAACCCAGAGAATGGCTCTCTTATATTTGCTTGATCTAGTCAACTCAGAATGGCAAAGTATTTTTGTTTTGCATTATTTAGTTTCTAAATCCTATTTTTCATAGCTTAGCTGAGCTAATGTTTACACTAAATGGTAGTCAAATGCAGCCAGTGGGCCCTGGTCAAAGAAGAAACTGTTATCTCCTTATGACATCACTTAGAAATACTGAAGCCAGATCCTGGGGATCCAATTTTCCATGACCATCAATCTCAGCATCATCACTGCAACCCCATCACATTTATAATGTTAACAACTTACTGCAGACAACAGATTCAAGAGACAACACAACCTGATATGTAGAGCAAACACCATGGTAGAACTTGAGTTCATATATGGCAATAGTCTCTTTTTAGTACAATATTTTTCCCCTAGGATTTCTTATTGACTTATGTCCTGGCTCATTCTCCCAAAACCTCTCACAGAAAATGAAAAAAATCAGACAAAAAACATAATGAAAACCCCAAACCATTTATTTTTCTTTCCCCCCTCACATCTTGAAAAATGATACGTAGGCTGGACATGGCCAGATAAGTTGTTCTGTTTCATTTATAACATTTGTATTTTTTCTTTTTACTTTTTTGTGTTATTTTTTAAAATAATTAAACTGAAAAAAATTAGCGTACAGTCAAAGAACATGAACATCATTAAAGACTCACTTGGAGATACGAAACAAGTAAGCCATGAAGTCTTCTGCCCTTGCAGAATAGTTCAGCCGAGGAGGAGGTCGGAAGGCTTTAAAGTTCGCCAACATGGGTAATGCTGCAGATGCCTTCTTCGGAGGGCTAAGTGTGCTTTATAATACACTAGGGCAGAGTTTGGGGACTCCAAGCAATGACTGAAAACTTAGCAGTCAATGGCTGAAATGTTTATTCTCAAGACTTGTTTTAAACCACAAACTGTAGCTCCCAATCTTGTTAGCTGTAACAGTTTCAATTCAGTTATATCTCATTAAGTGTGTGTGTGTGTGTGTATATATATTTATATATATAAATAAGTATTTTTACACGTAATATTCTTTGTCCTTGTTTTTCTGTTTCTTGTGGCCGCTCTTTGTGCTCTGCTGCTTCTCCTTCATGAGCGTGCCGTTGCTCTGGGCCGAGTTGCTGATGTAGTTCCGCGTCTCGTCCACCTGATAGGACCCCTCGTCCCTGTTCCTGTACTTGTACATGGCGTACAGGAGGATGAGGATGCAGAGGGCGGCGGCAGCCACAATGCCGACGACCATTCCCGTTGTGCTGCTCGACTCACGGACCACCTCTGAGGCCCCCGGAACCCGTCTGATTCCTGGCTCTGTGGGGTTTGCTGTGGGCACATTACGGAACATGGGGGAAGTTATTAGCGGGCTCTTCAGTTTTGTGCTGTCTAGCTCATAGGCAGTGGGCAACGGAAGCAAGACTATGTCAGGCTGGGGTTTGAGGTCACGGTTATTCATGTTGCCGGCTGGCAATTTGGGCACCATCCCAGTCGAGGACGAAGCTGTGGAGCGGATCAGCTCAGGGGATAAAGCTGTGGTAGTAGTCCTACCAGTATCGGAGACTTTGTTAGGTCTAAAGTCCTTGGCTTCCCACTTGGGTGCGTGTGCTTTGTAGCCACCTTCGAAGATGGAAGTGGAAAGACTCTTATCTGTTACCAAGGAGAAGGTGGTGTAAAAATCTTCATCATCAGTAGGGGGTAGGTTAGAGTCAAAGGTTTCCCCTGAGCCATACCCAGATATCACCAAGCCATCATCATCACAACCATCGCTGCCTTGGTCCGACAAGCAAGGTAACCCCGCCTCAGAGGTCATGGACAGGGAATCTTTGGTGGTCTCAATAATGGTGAGGAGGGGGCGGAAGGTAGTGGGGAGTGTAATGAAAGGTGCACGAGTAGCAATAGGAGGGATATCTAAAGGGTCTTCTACAAGAAGAGGGATAACTAATTCACCTCCTGGACAGAAAAGAAAAGAGAAAAGGTTAGTACATCTTGAATACAATGCAAAACTGTATCAAAGGTGTGTGTGAGCATGTGTGCGTGCTTTAGTTTAAACTATTGGGCTGGCCAGGTTTTTTTGGTTCTTATTCATCACAATGAACAGTCTTTCTGGGGCTCACCCACTTTGTTTTAGAGAGACTAATTCTGTCTCTTTTAAGCTTGACAAAGAGCAAAGACACAGTCTTTGATTTGGTTTTGAAAATACTCTCAAAGTGACTTGCAGAATTCAAATGTATGTTTCTTCTATTAACTAAACATAGGAAACTTTTTGGGAAATGAATACTTCAATATAATGTCTACTTAGTGGCATACTCAGTTGGGAAATAGAATGGTCTTCTGAGATGTGTGGTTTCCTTCATTTTTTTTCTTTTTTGCATAGGTATGTATTTAGTTTGCTGAAATGGGGCAGAGCAGGAGCGCTGGAAACAAATATAACTCTAATTCCAATTGCCATTTGAAACCAGAGTAGGAATCTACATTAGTGTAACGCAAGTAGTTTATAGTATTTTTTTGAAGATTGTGTATGTACAGAATTTTTGTAGCATTTCATTCACAGCTGTTTGATGCATTTCACACTGAAGACTAAAAGGAATAGGAGCTGTATTTAGGGGACAGTACTGAAACTGCTGGGGAAAATGGAGGAAATTGGGTCCACTTGGAATTTGTTCATTCTAAATTATGTTGCCTATATAATTATTATTGAGATTTAACTGTCAAGCTAAATTAAGATGAACATCCTGATACTGTTGATCTATGCTGTGCATTTGACTCTCACAAGCTCACCTTTGGCACTTCTCAGAACCATGCATGACCAAAAACAAATGAGCAAATATTGAAGGAAAATAATCCTGCCCTAATTATCATTGACAAACTGTTGGCTGATCTTCTGAAAACAACAGCACCAGCTTAAATTATATATCTTTGGGCAGCAGGCATGTTTAATCATCCTTTGTGATGGTGGAAGGTGAAAATGTAATTTCAAACCCTTAATAATGTATTTACTGTCAGCTCAAGCATTTAAGATTGGATACAGACCAGGGGCTATAGTTATCCCATAGCTTTCAGTAGGGGTCAAATGGAATAAGAGGCATCATAGGAAACATTTGTACTGAGTTTAGAAGACAGCCTAGGGAGAAAAAAAGCACACTTATTGTTTGATATGTACATATTTGCTTAATATATTCATCAAAGATGCCTGGTCCTAATGATGGACATAAATAAGGCCTTTCCCAAATGCTATCTATTAGTCAGAAATAATGTGATCCTGTCACTTTTGTTGCAGAACTATTGTTCTGTTTGACTGTTCACAATAAATGAGGATGGGGATTCTTATTAATTTGGGAACAAATATTTATTGGCTGTTTGTATGTTTCTGAGCTCCATTCAAGATACTGGGTTTAAATTATAAAGCCTTACATGATAGAACATTTCTCTTGATATGAATCTACTGGACACTATGATCAACATCTGGGGCCTTTCTCCAAGTATCCTTTCTGAGGAAGGCTTGGAAGTTGGCAACAAGAGAGGGCCTTCTCAAGGTGGCCCCCTGATTCTGAAACAAGTTCCCCACTGAGCTCCCTACCATCCACTAGGTCCACTCTCTACCTAGTGTCAACATACCATTATCTGTTTGGTAACAAGTTAAGACTGCCCTCTGCTCCAAGGTGTTTAATGGGATATGATTTGACATTTATGTCAGTTGTGTTGAACAGGTGAAGTACTGTTTACTGAAATCGTTTGTAGCTCTTTAAAATGTTTTATATGTACATACATTAAACATTTATGCTATGTCTTATTATAATATTGCATCATACAATTTTGTATTATGCTGTGGCTTATGTTTGTGAATTGATGTGAACCACCCAGACAGATTCAACTACTGAGTTACAGAAATGATACATATTATTATTACTATTATTATTTTTATTAATAATAATTTTCTAGAGTTTTGTGGCCTGCCTTCAGACTCTGTATCAGTCTTCAATGCTCTGTTTTAATCTAGAACATCTCAAAGGTTACTTGACCAATGATTTATACAATGCAATACCCAGATACTTTCTTAAAATGTCTGCTTAAGTCACTAAGTCACTAAGTTTAGTCAAATAGGAAACAAATGCTTTGACTGGGGTTGATGCATTGCTTGCAACTGGTAGAATGGAGAACAAGAATAGCTACTTAAACCATTTGCAATTTATTTAATTGATTCATTTATTTGCTTTTTGAATAGTTTTATGCTTACTTTGTGGGTTTTATTGTTATTATGTGGTCTTTATTCCCTTATAAGGCAATTGATATCATCCTGGGACCTCTTGCAGATGAACAGCAGTTTACACATTTATTAAAAGGAAAATATTTATTTAAGCTCATTGTGCTTGGCCACAGCAAATCTGCTCAGCTGGTCTTAATGACCATGTTGGAACATAGGGAAGCAAGAGCTGTTACTTCCAAAGGATTGTGGATATCTGAAAATAGTATCCTAAATGAAGGATGATTGATAGAAATTGTTCCCCATGGAAATTTTTTAGCTCTCCAATCAGGTCTGGCAAGGATCTAGAAAGGATCTGTGTTACTCCTATGCAGGCATATGATACCTGGCAAATGCCACTTCTTTAGTCTCTGTTACTTTGGCTGCCCCGTTACCTTTTCCACTGCCGCCTCTACCTGAAATCTCTTAGTCCAGTCAGATGATCAGATCCTGGTATAAGACAAGAATGTCACCTGTATCTAATGAAGTTGGTGTCTTGTTGCTACCAATAAGGTGGAGAGGATGAGCAGTGGCAGTAGTAACCGTGAATCCTAGGACTGGAATATGAACAAGGAGTTGATTGCACAGGGATGGACAATCACATAACTAATGGGCAGAACAGCCCAGCCACTGGAATATAGCACATCACATTCCTAAACTATCTGATATATTTTGCCTATCTCTAATACAGGTGATTACTCCAAGGCAGGAACAAAAACAGTATATTTCTTCTGAAATCAGTGTAAATAATGTTTTAATAACACCAAAAGGATGATAACTGTAAAGTTGTCTTCACCCTGCTCTCTTGAAGGGAGATATTGCTAAACATTAGCTGCTTCTATATGATTTTACCAACTGTGACAGCTTGACCAAATCCTTGCACACATTCTCTATATGTCAATGGGCAGTAATAAAAACTCAAGTGGACCAAGATAGGGAAGAGAAGAACAACCATCATTCAGACAGTTGCTGGGCACTGATCTTCCTTGCATTGTGGAGCAGCAGCTGTTTTCCCTTCCACCGTGCACATAATTTTGAGGGTTTTCTGTGCAAGAATCCTGAGCCTCTTGTAGGCTAAGCTGTTACCCATGAGAGCAAGCAGGAGTGAATTCACCATCTTCAGAGCATTAAGTCAGAATATCTAAGGCCAACAGGTGAAACTCTACATCCTTACAGCAGCTCCTCAGCTTAATGTCAGAGCACTGGTCTAGCTATCAAGACAAAAGACAACATAGACTCTCTGGGTTCTATTCAGTATCCCTACCAATAGTAGGGATAGGAAATAGTCTTCATTGAACAGCAGCCTGCTGTCTCATATTGTGAGACATGGACTCCATGTAGAGATCTATTTTCAAAATGCCTTGATTAACATAATCACACAACTCATAATGCTACCCGTACATGGCAGTTTAGAGCACTAGCCTTGAAGTTGATAGCGTAGCCCTAATCTAATAATTAGTAGCCCTCATGAATTAGACCAACTGAAACTAGTGGGGCTTAAATTACTCTAAACCAACTTGTCCCACTGGTTCAAGAGGCTTGGTTATGACTGACTTTAATTGGACTGGTGGGCATTGGCTGGAGGAGTATGTGTCTATTCATCTCTCTTGTAAGGCAAATCAGTTGAAATCAGTATGTGAACTTAGTCCATCCTCATTCAAAATCTGAAGTAAAAAGAATAACAGAAAAGTAGCAGGGTAAATAAATCAGAAAAATGTTAACATGAAATCAACCTACCTCTTCAGTGGGAATTTCAACTTCCTGAGGATCATTCAAGGCCTGTTGAGGATACTACTTATCCACCACTGCATAATAGCACTCATCTGCCATTTTACTGTGCCATCTGTGACTCACAATTGGAGTCACAGGTTTGGTAGTTTTTAATTGCCCATCTAAAAGAGCTGAAGTGCCTTTGTTATTAAAATCTCCTCTACTTATAAATGGATTTGGTGTGCAGCTGTTCCGCCACCTACCCAAGGAAACAGTCTTTGCAGGGGAAAATAATCTAGTCTATTTTGTAGTCAGCTGCTTGGATGTGGCTCCTCTTGAAGCCAAGGACACAGAAACCTTCAGTACTAAAAGGCAGCATGTTTATTTTAAGAGTTACTTACATTTAAGTTTGGCATATTAGTCAAGGATTATTTTTCTTTTTCTTTGAATTTAATGTTCTCAGCCAGGGCATTAACAGAACAGGCTGAATGAAGAGGAATAGACTCCATGATAATGGGCTGGGAAACACACTTGTTTGGAAATGTCTTTATTTGTTTGAACAATATAATATCAAAGATATGCATAGAAATGGAAAGCATGGGTCAGTGGCAAAGCTTTTTATGATGGTTGGGACATTGAGCATAAGGAAGCCAAGAGGTAATGCCAAAAGAAGCACAATTAATGATAAAGTCTGTGACAAGGGTCCAAAGAGAAGTTCTATGTATGCACAATTCCCTGCTGGCTTCTGACTTGAGTTCTTTGCACTGCACCCTCTCTGAGGCCTCCAGTTTTTTTAGTACTGAGGGGAAATGGAAGGACCAGAATACAGATGGAGCATGCAGAAATGTCCCAGGCATTGCTGGTCTATGATTTGGCCCTAGTCTAGCCATTAAGAGGGGTTTTTTTGGGGGTGGGGTTCATCTGATACTATCTAGATTCATAGAATAGTATGGTTGGAAGGGGCCAAGGAGACCATTGGATCCAACCCCCTACTGGTGCA